GCGCTCCCGGCTCCCGCCCGCGCTCCCCGTCGCCGCCGCCAGCGCCTCTGCAGTGATTCCTCGTCTCCATCTAGCGAGGCTATTGTGTATTGGGCGCTTAATAATTTATTTATTCACCCTGGAGGCCGAGGACTCCCACCTCCCGGGGATCTTGCGCCTTGCTTGCCCTTTCCCCAAGTTTCTCCTGAGACTGCGAAAAGGTGGTAGGGGCTCCCGCCCGCGCTCCCCGTCGCCGCCGCCAGCGCCTCTGCAGTGATTCCTCGTCTCCATCTAGCGAGGCTATTGTGTATTGGGCGCTTAATAATTTATTTATTCACCCTGGAGGCCGAGGACTCCCACCTCCCGGGGATCTTGCGCCTTGCTTGCCCTTTCCCCAAGTTTCTCCTGAGACTGCGAAAAGGTGGTAGGGTCTGTCTTGTAGAGACACCCCCCCTTTTGCTCTCAGTCTTTGGGGATTCCCATTCCCCTCAGACTCCGTGGGACTCAGGGCTGTTAAGTTGCAGGCCACCACTCCTGAGCCAAGTATTTTATCCTCCCTGGCCTTTAAAGCCCCAGCAGTGGGGCCCTCTCCTTCATTACTCCTTCGCATCCGGAGGGAGTTGCGACGGCCCTAGGGAGGACCTTTTCACCACTGCTTTTCCTAAACATCCATAAACTCCTCTTTGAGGCAATATTATCAACAAGTCGGTTGTTAGCGAAGGAGCCCGGTTACATCTCCTGCAGACAAGCTGCTCCTCGCTTCCAAAGAAGCTTGGCAGGCAGGCGCGGGCGCTTTGGTCTGGGGGGAAGCACTGTGCAAGCGATTTGATTGTGGGGGCGGCTGTGGGTGGGAAAGGGGGATTCCAGCGAGGCCTTGAAAGGCCTGGACAATCCCGTGTTTAGCAAGACGAGGGTACCAGGAGCTCAGGACGCAGGGAAGAGTCAGATCGCAACTCATTCATCGAAATAACATTTACTTAGTACCTTTTCTCAGACTCTAGGATACACTTTGGCCACCCTATGCAAACCCACACTCCGTGAAGTTTTTGTTTTGCAAACCAGCTTTCAGACCAATGTCTTAGCGACCTCCTTCATGTCAGGGGCCTGGGATGCGGTACTCTTCACAGGACTCAACGGATCCGCGCTCCCACTGGCTAGATCCTGGGGAATAGATGTGAATGAGGCATGGCCCACTCCTCCCATTACCTGGGATGGGGGGCAGTGTGGTGGGATCTCTGGCTTTCCGGGTGTGGGAAAGAGTCTTGCTCTGAAAGAAGAGGAATGAGGAGTGGAGACCAGACAGAGGGGTTTAAAAGCTTCCAGGACAAGGTAACAGTGGGGCGGGGAGAGCATTTCAAGCATTTGGGTAAGGCCTTGGGCAAAAATATCCAGTCATTCTTTCCTTGATTCATTCATTCATTTTATAAATAGTGTTCACGAGCACCTGTCAGAGCCAGGCAGAGCAGTGGATGCTGGGTATAGATCAGTGAGCAAAACAGATCCCTTCACTGCCAGAGAGGAAGGATGGGGAGAAATGATGGAGGAAGGGATTCCTACGTGACTCAACCACAGTTTAGAGACAGAATGAAGCACACAATGGAACCTTTATTGGTTAGCTGAGTTCAAATGACACTGATATTTCCATGCCTTCCCAGTTTAAGCCAGTATTTGGGTTAGACTGGGACGTAGGTCTTTCGACACCACAGCAATCCCTGAGCTCTGCCAATTGGAAATGTTATTTACATGACATTTTAATTCAGGTCTCATGACTCAGTGAGATAAAGGCAATTGCCCCATTTGGGAAGCTCATAGTTGTTTGTGATATAGCCAGAATCACACACCATCCCCGCCTGGGATTCAGAAGCACTAACCCCAAATTAGAAGTTTAAAACTGGGGGCAGGCATTGTACATTGGAAAATCTGTGTTGCCTGTTTTTTTTGCAGTGCTGGGGATCAAACTCAGGACTCTGTGTTTGCAAGGCAGGTGCGGCGCCACTGAGCTAAATCCCTGGCCCTGAATTACTTATTCTGGTCTTCAGCATTTCTCTACTGGACCTCTATACAGTGATGAACCTCTTGAGAGTCACTGGCCCTCATCTTCTTGGCCCATCCAACACTATAGAATGTCACAGCCTCCCTTAGTGTGAAGACCAAGCTCCATTACAGGTCTCTCATGCCACAGCAGGACCTAGGGAGATGCTGGCTCCTCTCACTCTTTTTGGGTGTAGATGGTGACCCACATGATGTCACATAGGATCTGCTTACAGAGGCCACCCGGCAGCTCTGCTCAGAAATGGAAAGGACTTAAACTTTGGGGAAAAACTTTTGGCCAATGACAGGCAAGAAATGAAAGGAACCCGGAATATGGATTCTGGAGGTTCCAGTTGACCTGTAGGAGGTGTCCAGTAGGTGACTGAGCAACTGGCAACGTTTTCTTCTGATGTGCTTGGTAATTCACAACTTTGTATTTGCTCCCCTTCTTACTACCACCTTCCCCTTGTATTTGTTAACCTAGGAGGATTTTATCCCTCAGTAAAATATCAATCAGCAAGTTTGTAAGCCAGGTTTCTCCATAGGAACAAAACCACTGGAATATATATATGTAATTTCTAAAGGGGATTTACTAGATTGCCTTATACAGTCAGAGACTGGGTAGTTTTAAAATTGCTGTCTAAAGGCTAGAGGACTAGGAAAACCCAGTAGCTATTCAGCCCAAGAAGCTAGAAAACTCAGAACAAGAAGGATTGATGATGATGCAGCTCCAGTCCTAGGCCAAAGGGCTGGAAACCCCAGAGAGCTGAAGGTGCAAGTCCATATTCAAAGTCTCAAGAATCTGATGTCTATGGGCAATGGCAGCAACAAAAGATTCACCCACTCAAGAAGGGTAGAGCTTGTATACTCTGGTGAGCTGCCCTATTCTGCTTTTGATTCCATCTGGGCCCCAAGTGTATTGGATGGTGCCACCCACATTTGGGGGGTCTTCCTCAAATCAGTCAAGTGACCCACAGACCAATCATCTCTGGAAAGACCCTCACAGACATTCCCAGAATTGTGTTAATTTTCTACTCATCTCTTAATTTAGTAAGGTAGACAACCAAGATTAACTATCACAGCAAGCAAACATTGTTTCATGCTGTCTCCACAGGGAAAGTTGGTACCAAAAGTGACAGTAAAAAGTAAAGTTTCAAGATGGGATGCTGGATTTGGATTTCCCATCAACCTACAAGTAATCAGGATCCCACTGGTGTTGGTGAGTAAGGCCATAAATGACATATATTGACATTGCTAAAGATTTATCTACAGTGAATTGGACTAAAGTACAAGTAAAAAAGCAAAGTTTTATGAGATCCAGCTCATAGCTGTTTGGGAAGCTCATAGTTGTTTGTGATATAGCCAGAATCACACACCAATTATGACATGTGCTATTAGTGTGGGAGCAATGGCAATCATAAAAGTTGAGGGGGCTGGTTAGGTAGATTTTTTTCAGGCAGTATTGGAGGATTTTGTTAAAATGAAATGATAGGCTTAGGGAAGCTATTTTCTACCTTAAGCCATGCCTTTGCAACAGCTTTAAGGACACTCTTGAAATCCACAAGACAGGCTATTGAAAATTAAAGTCAGGACCTGATTTAAGGATGGCAGAGCTAAAAAGGAGACTAAATGTACAGCCACACAGGTGACTTTTGTCCAAGTCAGGGCTCTGATGGAGAAATTATTGAACATTGTGATCTGAAATAGACACATTTGAATGGACACACCCGAACATTTGGGATCCAAAAACTTCCTACATCTTCTGGCAGATAGAAGCAACTCTTTTCTTCTTGTTAAAACAGAACAGGGGCCAGGGATTTAGCTCAGTGGTCTGCCACAAGCAAAAAGTCCCGAGTTCAATCCCCGGTGCCAAAAAACAAACAGACAGACAAAAAGACAGAACAACTCCTCTTGTCCTGCATGCCACAATAACCTCACTGAAGTAGGTACTCTGCAAGATGGCACTTGTTCCCATAATGGCAGCCTGCAGCTTCTCTGCTCAGAGATTACCATGAACAGGCACCAGTAACATTCAAAGTTTCTCCAGGTTGAGAATCCCAGACCAGGAGAAGAGCTGACCATAGATATCTAGAATGGAAGCTGGCTTTGGAGGAAGATAATGAATGCCAATTATGGCCCCATGGCTCCAGCAGAGGACTGCTGCTTGATTTAGGAATGCTTCACATCTTTTTTTTTTTTAGAAAGCTATAATGACTACATAAAGAAATGGACTTGTATCTGCATTTTAAAATTGATGGCATTTTGTTCTCAAGCTGGATCCAAAAGTCATAGGGGAAGGGAGCAACTTGGTCTTAATACATTTTCTATAGCCTAGACTGGATAATTTATAACAGAAGAGGTTTATTTTGTCTCATGGTTCTAAAAATCCAAGAGCATGCACTGGCACCCTCTGAGATTCTGATGGTGGCCTTATGACAGAAGGGCAAGTAGGCCCATGCAGAAGGAGGTCACATGGTAGGAAAGGAAGCAAGAGACAGAAAGTCAAACTTGCATTTATAACAACTCTAGGGAA